ATCTATAAGGTACTATGAATTGAATCCTAAGAAAATCTATTCCCCATGGGGTTGCCACGACATTGCTTTTCTAAGCACTTTTTCGCACAACGGCCCACGGCCTAATTGACTTACTTACATCAAACAAAAACTTACCAGGTTCTTTTGCTTCGTCTTCCACATCTCCCTCTTTGGCTACCACTTCCTGGTTATCTTTTTCTTTATCTTTTACTTTTTCTTCCTGGTCTTGTTTATCTTTTTCTCTATTTTCAACTTCCCGATCATCTTTATCATCCAATTCGTCTTTATCACCCCATTCCGGATCATCTTTATCATTCAATTCGTCTTTATCACCCCATTCCGGATCATCTTTATCATCCACTTTTTCTTTATCACCCCATTCTGGATCATCTTTATCATCCACTTCGTCTTTATCATCCCATTCTGGATCATCTTTATCATCCACTTTTTCTTTATCATCCCATTCTGGATCATCTTTATCATCCACTTCGTCTTTATCATCCCATTCTGGATCATCTTTATCATCCACTTCGTCTTTATCATCCCATTCTGGATCATCTTTATCATCCACTTCGTCTTTATCATCCCATTCTGGATCATCTTTATCATCCCATTCTGGATCATCTTTATCTTCTGGAGCATCCCCTTCTTCTTCTCCCACTTCATCTTTATATTCCTCTAAACGGTTTGTTAAAATATTGTAGCCAGTGAGTAGAAGTGAAATTAATACACGCTTTGCAGCATTGAATCTTTGGATTTTGAAAATAATGTTTGTAACGATATTTGTGTTAGAGTATGTCCAGGTTTGACCGACTGCAGGTTATCTGTATGATTTTACATGTTACATAACTTATCCATATTAATTATAGCTAGATTTTATAAATAAGCAAATAACCTGTGCTTAGTATACAGTATCAGTTATGTCATGAGGGGAAGTGAACTGCAATTGATATCCAATGGAAAATCGATGTCCAGTGGCTGACGTCAACCGATCGCAATTTTGTCCCATAAAAAAGTAAAACGATAAACATAAAGCGGCTTTTATAAACTGTTTAGCTTGAATTAAAGAGTTGAAAATTTTGATTTCCACCAGTGGATATCAATTTCCAGCAGTGAATATCAAATTTCGGGGTGGAAACCAATGCATGGCAGCGTCTAGGCGACCAATCAAAAGAGGGTATGGAACACTACTCTCGCGTAGAAAATAAGGCTCTGCCGTTTTTGTGTATTTCTTAAGTAAACCTGTAATAAACCAGTTCTAACCCGGTTTTAAATGTAAACCGATGACAACAATTTGAGCCCGCTATATATTTACAAAATTTAAAAACTTTGATATTTGCTGT